AATTAGAAACCACGAGTCAGGTTTCAGAGCAATTCATATTTCAGTAAAAAATGTCACCATCAAAACATCAAATGATATATTGCAAATTGTGATGTTCCATCACTGGGCGGATTGAGTTTCCAGAGAATTTGAGTCTGAGGTCAAATGTGTTTTTGTTGAGACAATCTGCGATATTTTTCCTCAAGCCTGGGCGCAGATCTTTCCTCAGCGTCAGCAAAAAATTTTTTTTCGAGACTGCGATAAGAAGCCTCCCGGAATTCAGGCAACAATGGGGGGGCTAAATTCCATCTCCCCTCAACAGCCTCTAATTATTCGAAATTCTCATCGTAATCCCGATTTATGCCCAAAAAGTAGCTTGCTCCTGCAATATATTCTTACTGAAGAAATCCCACAAAAAAGAGCCTTGTGTCGGGTGGTGCGGTGGTGCATTACCGACTAAAAGGCCGCGAAGAAACTCTGTATCATTCAGTCTTTGTTAAAAAAGATTTTAGAAGCATAAGTGCGAACAGGCTGAGTAGCAGGAATAAAATATAACCGCGTAAACCCAACTCTAGTTTGAATCTCGTGCTGTGTACCAAAAATTCTACGGCACGCTATGCATAATTCGTTAAGTTTTCCAGCAGTATTCCTCAAGCCCTGTATTTGCATGGCTAAATTAGTGTGGAATGGAGCATGCTAGCTGGCAAGGCGCAATTATATTGCGGTGATATTCTAGGGGTACTCGTGCAATTTATTTCCCGACACTCCTTAATTACAAGTGATCGTAACTTCTGGAGAACTGCTCCGGAGTTGCGTACTTTATTGTTCTGGCAAGACGCTCTGTATGCAGGCATTTCAACGTGAATGTTTTAACCTGTGTCTTTCGGTGCACAGAAAATAAACAAAACTGAGATAGGATGAACAGAGATTCGCTTCATTGCAGCTTACCATAGATACGAACTACAAAAGCTTCGGAGCACGCTATGGTCTAATTGCGGCTACACTCAAATTAAACAAAAAAATTGTTTCAATGGCGTATTACTATAAAGAAAACCGCATTATTTATAGCAGAATTTCCAATTTTTGTTTCGCGTCTCCGTAACTAGAATTACTAATACTACTTGTGAAAAGTCATACGTAAATCATAATGTTTCAAGATGAATAAATAATCTATGAAAGCCAAATTGATACTCAAATCGATAAATAATAAATTCAAGATATTTTTTGTATATTATCGGAAATAATTTCTTGGATCTCAAGAACATTTGCGAACAAACTCAGCGACTGAGAGTCCGAGGCAGCGGTAGAGGGAGATCGCTGGTTCGCTCCCTTTTGCATGTCGCAGGGGAGGCCATCTTTAGTTCAGTACAATTTTATGCCCCATCTGGCTGCTTTACGATGCTTTACTTACTTAACCGGACTCAGGGCTTTCCATAAATCAGCACGGCCAGATTGCGGACGATAGCGAAAGAAGCTGTTTTACATGATGTCGTGAATCGATGCGCGTCTTTTTCTATTTGGCCAATTTACTTTGACTCAGTATTTTGAATGGCACGCAAAAAACGAGTCGAAATCTGTTTGGAAAAGTCATTTACGGGAACTTCTCAGCATTAAAAAGGCAAGTCTTTCAACTGCAAATCTGCGTGGGTAACTCCAGTCTCAGGAGGTTTGAAAAAATAGAAATTTCCACGAAGAGGGAGCATCTTATACTTTTCCTTATAATGAAGCATGGACGCTTACTTGTATCTATAAAATACTCGCACTAGTTTCGTATTGATCAAAAACAACACTCACAGACTTCAAAATGAGAATTAAATGTGCTTGGACAAGTTTCAATTAAATAAACGAAAAAGTGAGCAGTTGAATTCTATATGTAAATGCAGACAACTGCAGTCGAAAGTTACAACAAGAATGATGAACTTCGCAATTACTTAGTAAACAATTGAACACCAAAGTCCTGCTGCAACTTAGGAACCACTGAGTGACTTCACTTGTAAGTTAAGTAAATCAATAGAGTTACAGCACTATAATAATAATTAATAATAATAATATTTTAAATTACAAGACTGGGCACGATTAGGGTTGGAGGTTATACCTTGTATCGTCTTAAACCGGTATGATAAAACTCGATATGACTTATTTAAGTCATTGAAATTTCAAAGAAAGGTGCACTTTCCTGTATAAATTTATCGCAGTTGTCATTATATAGCCGAAAACATCGAACATCACTCAAATATATAACTTGAACGGTTAAATAATAATGTGGTCAATGTTTAGTCGGAACTTACAAGCATATTAACATTTTACGATCAGTTTTTTAAAAACTGTACGATCATCTTCTAAAGTTCCACACTCATCGCAAAATCATCCCGTACATAATTGGCGATCTCCTGCGAAAATAATAAACAAATTACAAAAGCAAGAAACAAAATTGCATTTTAAACTTGAGTTTAAAAACATTTAGTTGCACAGTGAAGTCTCTAAGATCTAAACTTATATTCACTGGAAAGTAAGGAATTTTCCCCCACAGATTAGAATTTCACACGTGCGCACTCGAGAAGTGCAGAAGATGACAGAAAGAATTTCCACCTGGAATAAGTAAGTTTTGTACAGTTTCCTGAAGAAGTGGTAATATATTTATCGACTTCTCTCCAACTCCCGCTCGGGAATGAATAAGTGAATGTGCAGCCTATATTAGATGAAGATGAAATAAACTATTTATTACTACCCGTGTGCGGATATAATTTATTGAAGTTTGATTTGAAATTGTAGCAAAGAATTTTTAAAAATTGGACTTGATTCATGTGATAGATACATGTTGAGAGGAATAACGCTTGTGCAGGGTACGTCCACGAAACTTGCTTTTTTTGAGTGGATAAAAAAAAACTATTGACGACATTATTAAATTTTCTCCTTGTAGATCACCTCGTCAAATTGTCTTCCGCAGTAATAAAATAATTTTATGGAAAAGTTCTACGAAACTAAATATGAAGTTCGCGCTGACCCATGGCATAGTATTATAGGCCATTAATGAAGTATACTTTGACGACGAGCGTGCGATGCTCTCGTGACTGTTGGCGCAGAGGAAAAAAGTAAGACTCTCTCTCTGGCGCCTTAAAAATAATTAAGAGTTCGTAACTATGTTAGTGATCAGAATATTACAGAGGGCAATAGAAGAAATTAGGCATGCAATATGGTGAATAAAACCAACTAACAAAACGCATTCAAGACTCCAACGAACATGAAGAATGTAAGGGAATTTAAGCGAAGGAAACTATTTAAAGCGGGACTTGGAATGAACAAAAAAATTCCCATCCGTTGAGTAAGAAGTGATAGCGACAAAATTAAAGTCCCTGTCATTCCTATATATACATTGCGAATGCGCATGGTTGATTGAGGTAGCAGAATGGGATACTAGATGACCCAATTATCCAATTATCCCAAAGACCTTGCGATTGCTACAAAAATTAAAGTTAAATAACAGTAAAATGTGCTGTTAACATTTTGAGTCATGCGTCATATGAATACAACAGCAACTAGAGAAATAAACATTTCAAGAACTTCTGGCAGTAAGAAAAAGTCTTTTTATGCAAACAATTCGCGTAAAATAATAATAAATCACCGGAAATTCATGTTTCTATCAGATTTTCTTGTGCCGTTGCTGCTCAAATAATCTCTAGACGCCGTAGAAGGACCACTCACCGAAGCCCGTTCTCTCACAAGATCTGACTTTCATCCCACGCTTATACATGCCCGACTGCGCGGCTCTGCGCAGTCACTGCGTCTCGTGGGTGTGTGCTTATCGAAAAATGAGTTTTCTTTCGTTCTTTCCCAACAAATACACAGTTAACAGTTCACTTTTTTTGTTCAAAACGGAATCCGAGTTCGTGTAAAAACATTTTAAAACTTTTTGTGCACTTTCACTTTGATGTATGCGGTTACTCCCTACATTATTTACAGGCCTTAATCTACGGACATCATTCCTGCTAAAAACTTGTCCCTTATGCGTCATATGATAACAGCAATAAGAGGAATAAACATTTCAAGCACTTCAGGCAGTAAGAAAAGCCTTTTTATGCAAACAATTCGCATAAAATAATAATAAATCACTGGAAATTCATGTTTATATCAGACTTTCTTGTGCCCTTGCTGCTCAAATAATCTCTTGACGCCGTAGAAGGACCACTCACCGAAGCTCTTCCTCTCACAAGATCTGACTTTCATCCCACGCTTATACATGCCCGACTGCGCCGCTTTGCGCAGTCACTGTGTCTCATGGGTGTGAGCTTATCGAAAAAATGAGTTTTCTTTCGTTCTTTCCCAACAAATAAGTTATCTCATACTTTAGCTTAATGAAAATTGGTGTTTTTTCTGGAGCAATAAGGAGACATTTCCACGTGCCACTGCTAACTTTCAACCAATAACATGTTAGTGATGTTACTCACTACATTTCTTTTATTCTTAAAATTGGAACCATTGAACATAATTGTTTCAATTCATGCATTATTTTTATTTGAACTCTTTGATGAAGACTGCAATATCTTTACTACCCTAAAACGTAATCGGCATTATCTATAAATGTTAAAATAAAAATCCAAGGAATCTCCCCTAATATTTTTTTTTTAGCCATTATCTACTGATATCGTAGCTTCATTCAGAACTTCTCTGTATTTCGGAAACTAAAGAATTTCTGATCAATTGCCTCCTGGCACCAACCTTTGCCACAAGCCATGAGGTCCCTGAAGACATGTGCAGGTGCAACGAGGAGACAACAATCATACCGTACCTGTTGGCAGGTGCAGAAGCAGCGTGGAGACAACAATCATGCTGTACCTGTTGGCAGGTGCAGCAGCAGCGTGGAGATAACAGTCATGCCGTACCTGTTGGCAGGTGCAGAAGCAGCGTGGAGACAACAATCATGCCGTACCTGTTGGCAGGTGCAGAAGCAGCGTGGAGACAACAATCATGCCGTACCTGTTGGCAGGTGCAGAAGCAGCGTGGAGACAACAATCATGCCGTACCTGTTGGCAGGTGCAGAAGCAGGACTATCGTGGAGACGATGTATGTAGTGAAGCTGTGGTCCGCCATGTAAGCGATCACGCTACAGACTCGTCAGCGTATAAAGTTCTTCACGTTGAATATTGCGTCGTGCGCACACATCCTGATGACCTCGCCGTTGTTATATAATATTTAATTCATTAGCACTGCATTAAATATTTATAGTATCACTACACGGTAACTCTGAGCTATTTATGCCTTCACTTGAAAATAATGACAGTAAGTATTTTAATGAATGTCTTCACTTTTCTTTAGTAACTTTTGCCATTATATTTATTCCGCCGCACTTTAAGCAATGGTGAAGGGCATAGTGAACTTTTTTTACAGTGAACTGAATTATAAATTGCGTTTAATCTTCAGGAACGGTATGTGGCACCACAAGGAAGTCTTTTAATCTATGTTTTAAATATTGTTTACTTCTTCGAGATATTTAAGAAAAAAATTCACAGTGTCACTATTAAGCTAGTATATTGCATATTAGCTCGTAATTCAACAACCTTGTTCAATATTTGAAGACGGAGCCGATATTTAATTGAAATTTAAGTTTAAAATCCATGAATTTATGTCTTTGCTCTATTACTGCCCATAAATCGACCAGCGCACTATACAATGCATTCAACTGTTTCGATATTAATTTTAATTAAATCACCACCGATCGTCACATATTAGATTTTGGAAAAAGTTTGGGAAGCCCTTGCGCTCCCAACACTTCATATTGAATAAATTTTTTTATTTAGACAGTAAACCATATTAGGTTCAATTCGCTGTTGGAAAGTTTGCAAAGGTAATCCTGGAAACATTTTATAATTACATCAATATTGCACTGCTGGCGCTCAAGTCACAAATAATTCAAGCAATGGAGCTCTTATATTATTCATTTTTTTGGAACACAAAAAAATATTGCAATATTCGAGTCTGCTTCAACTTCTGAAATAGAGAATAACGGTACATTCAAATTGTAAAATACAAACAAAATTTCCTCGTTATACACGATCTCAGATATATTTTTTTAAAGTCTCTTGAGACAGATACGTTTGCATTATTACTGAGTGCTGTTACTCTCAGTTTCTTCGTGCCTACTGCGCTGGAACTGCGTGCCTGGAGCTGCAGTTGCCCAGTACTGCGCTGGAACTGCGTGCCTGGAGCTGAAGTTGCCCTGTACTGCGCTGGAACTGCGTGCCTGGGGCTGCAGTTGCCCTGTACTGCGTTTTTCAGGACGCTGGGGCCGTGAAGGATACGACGCACTGCGTCTAAGTGACGTCCGACACGCGACGCACGGCAAGGTCGGCACTCCGATCGCCGTCTGTGATTACGCATGGTGCGCATTACGCGCTAAAATAAATTGCCGCATGCAGGGTCAAGCCTCCATCTAAGTCGAAATTGAAATTATGAATGCGTAATTGGAATGCAAGTACTAGCTTTACATGTTTCAGCTTGCATTTTCGTTCGTACACAAATTGATAATTGATTCTTTTACTTTTCTCGCGCTGAAATTTGATTTAAATTTACGGCCATGAATGTCTCGAATTCATTATAAATGGTTATTTATTTTGGCTGCTTAAGTAAATAAACTATAATATAAAAAAATTATTCAAATAAACGACACACGTGACTTGAAAATTTTCCTCAATTAAAAATTTTATCGAACTTTGTCAGACACAAAAAATGTTAGAACCACTTCATTTTTGCAAAAAATAATATGGAAAAATATAAAGTTAACTTTAAATAAATATAAATTTCTTTATTATTTTCATGATGTTGCTAAAAATATCTGGGATTTTTCTGCGTTTAAGATGATGCAAGTATTTAACTTGTATCTTGAAGTAAACGATTAAAAGAGTCCTAAGTTTGCTTAGAAATAAACATTTTTTCAATTACTGTAGAGCAAAATTAACTTCCAACATATTCATGATAAATTCTTTATCATTGACATAATTTAAATTTTTATTCGTCTTTTAAAACTTCCGACATAAAATGAAGCGATGTGCAAGTTATTTGCACATTATGTGTCAAGCATCAAAATCAAGCAAGTGCAATATAGGAGATGGATTTAAGATAATTTTTCAATCTGTGCATCGTAATGGCCATGAAACGAGTAGCATTCCCGCCGTCTTTTACCTATCGTCAATATCGAATTCAAGTACTACTTTTAGCCGAGGTCGTTTGGACGAGTTGCACAGCATAATGTCAGCTCATGATAGCGTCAAATTAAATATCGAGTTCTTCGCGCAACGCAAATATACAGGAAGATAATTCGGGATGTTTCATCGCATTTTTTAAACCGCTGGCTTGCCACCAAATTCGCAGTGATACTTTTTGTCTATCATGAAGCCAATTGTTTGCTTGAAATTTATTACTTCTAATCAAACGCATTCAATTTAGGTATTGAACAGTAAAAACAAAAAAATGCTTTACTTTTTGTAAGAACACGTAAAGTTAAAAAAAGTGAACCCCTATGTAACGTTTCAGGCAAACCTTTCATGGAAATCAAGTTACTGCATTGCAGTCCGAATTGATATCGCTTTCTGTTAGCCAAAAACAACACAAACATTTTCCATTTGCCCGTCAGTTTCAAACTATTTATTCACATAGTTGCTGTGAAGTTTCAATTTTAAATGAACGTCTCTAATCAAAATTTTATTCACTGTGTTATCATAAAACTGATTGAATGAGATTTCTATTCAACCGCTATCGGAACGGTGAAGTGCAGGAGCCGAGAGAGGCTTGCAGGTGCCGGTGCGGACACCGCTTGCACGCAACCCTCCACACACGACGGTCAGAGGGACACTAAGTCTCGGGGCGCTCGTGCTTCAAAACTGCCATTGACATGTATTGCAATGCTAGCATTCCTTGCAGAAGTGATATTAAAAGTTAGTTCTTTATATCATTCATGCTCTGAAAAAATCAATATTTGCAACAGGTTTGATGTACATATTTACTTTCATCTCCCATATGTGTGAATAAAATTATGCTTCAAAATATTCGTTAAACTGACTCTCGAAATGCTTCATTTAATTTTTTGGATGTAATACTGTCTTCAATCGACCTTCATTCTAAAATGTCCTGAAATTGTGACTTGGTCACTCTAGAGTGGCAGCGATCGTTTGCTTCATTTAGGGCTTGTCACTCAAGCATGGCACTCTAGAGTGGCAGCTATCGCTGGCAACATGCAGTGCAAGTGTCCCAATATTGGCACCTGAAGAGCCATCATATCACTTAAAGTGTCACGGAGCGGCTGTAATTCGCAGGAATCCACAGAACTTTTAGGAAAATTTAGACCGGCCAATGCAAGGCCAGCCGTTGGCCGTCGCTTCTACGAGCCGCATTAAGTGGCTATAAAGACGACTGCTCCATAGAACGCTGGTGCCAAAATTGTCCGTAATATACAATTAACAATCCGTAATTCATCAATGACTGGGCCACTCGATGAGTCAAGCACGATTTGCATGATTATTTTTTATATCTCGAGCATTATTTGCAGTTTGTGAACAGATAATAAATCACAAAGTCAGCTGTCGTAAAAGCAAAGAAACTAAAACGAACGTGTTGCGTGACTTTCGAGGGATACTACTAGTCAAACTGCTCGGTGAGAATTTATTTAAATGAGACATTACTGAAGCAATTATCATCCATTTGAGATTTCAATCTGACCTCAATGATAATGCTTCTTCCAGAGTTCAGTGATGATGTATTGATGACCATGAATGATGTATCATCAGTTCATCAATGATACATCATTTGATTGGAATTTGTTAGCTGGAAGTGTTTTAATTCCAATATACAACGTTAAAGAGTGGAGAAATTCCAGGTTTCTGCAGTTGTAGTTACAAATGTTGTACAGCAGCGGCCAAAGGACCATGTCGAGAGCTCCCTGACATTTCGTGTCGCCGACGCCGAGTGATTGGTTCTGTGAATGGAGGTCAACGTGAAGCTTCACTGCAGCGACGGCTTATAGGGATTAATATCTGTCAGGGACCCTTGGATTTTCGGCGATCAAATTGTGCGCTGTCCACACCAAGGCTAAGCGCTAGGAAGTTCATATAGAGATCAATTTCAATGTGTAGATTCGTCGTATTCGGATTTACATCGCTGCCCATTGAACACAAGCTTTATTTATATTTCAATTTTGATATTTGTAGAGAAAATATGACTAGTTTAAACTGCTAACAATTTTCATGTTGGCCGGAAGCTGGAAACCCTCGGCTCGGACGTCTTCGAGATAAGGACATTTCAGAGCGTAACGATCGGTAACGGTCGTTTCTGATGTCCCAGGGATTACGTCCGATGTTCAGAGTGAAAGCTCACAGGTAATCGCATTGCATTGGGCTCAGCAAGACACTGAGATCGTCTAACGAGGCCTTACTGTTCCTGCGACTGCAATATATTCGATGATGACAGATTCTCTGGATTCGGTTAATTCCAGAAAACAATGTTTGCATCCATACAACAGCAGTAGGTTTCACTGCCTTTCGTGACGATATATACCATGACTAAATAATAAGTAATATATCTTTTTTGACTAAAATATAAAATAGTTTGTGACAGCAGAGAAAGCATAAGCTCCTGGAAAGAGAGCTAAGGTAACGAATAATATTCCTTGGACAGTCGACCACAAGCACCATCAGCCCCACTACTTGCCATGCCTGTCATTCTACCATTCAACCACAACTCCCTAAGCACCACCACTTGGCATGACTTACTCATTACCACAGACCTCTTGTGTCTCGGCGCCACTACTAGTATCGACTACCATGCTACCACATTCAGTGCTACCACACCTATCATCACCACCTCTACTAGTCTTGACCCTCAAAAACCACTATGTCTTAGCACCTTCACTAGCCAGACTCATACAGTTCAACCACACTACCATCAGTCTCAGTACCTCTACTAGTCTTAACCCTTAAACACCACTATGTCTTAGCACCTTCACTAGCCAAGACTGCATACAGTGCTACCACACTAGCATCAATTTCAGCATCTCTACTAGTCTTGACTACCGGTGCTACCACATGCATCTAGCAGCCCACTACGTATAACACCAGCATCCATCTGCCCACCAGCATCATGTCAGCTTCAGGTGCAGCTCCCCACCACCCCAACATGGGTGGGGCTCCACTAAATAAAGCGGGCCGACAGCGCGCTAATCTGCCGCTGTCGCTCGTAATTCATCTCTGAATTGGTTACGTTAGTAGATTTTACGAACTTGTCTCGAACATTTCAGAGCGCATGCTTAGTGCAGCTGTTTCGGTTGCTCGAATCTAGGGCGCCATGAAGTTAATGGATAGGTACCAAATCATTTAAATCTATTAAAGTTATGTGTTTGTGTAAGTTTAAATGTTGTGTTTGTGTGTTTTGTGCCTCGCAAGGCGAAAATATAGCGGCTATGCGGGACCATTTCCACAATAACTACCATGTAGGGATATTGCCTAGACCTGAAATGTTTTTCGGAGTGAGGGAATTGTGAGAAATTTCGCAATGGTGAAAGGAGGGTTGTGTTCAAAATAAAATTTTGATTTTTAAATCGGCATTCTTAATTTCAATTTAGAAGACAGGAAAAATCTATTTTCAAAGTTTAATTTCAAAGTCATATTTGAGTTATATTTTGAATGTTGGATCAACATAGGGTACCATAATTTGTATTAACTCTACTTTACTTCGGAAACTATTCTTCAAATTATTCATTTCAGATTCCCTTCCTTTTTTATAACGGGAGGTAAATGGGAATTTGAAGTAAATATTTAGCTGAAGTAGTCTACCTTAACTAACTTACTTCAGTTTAAAATTATTATAGAGGTTCAAAGTGAAAGAATTCAGGATGACTGGATTCAAAATGGCGGGATTCGGAATAATGGGTTTGCTGTAATTGGATTTGGGATAGCTGGATTCTCCAGCCTTCGG